ATTGCTTAATTCTCATGAGGGGTTACTAAGGGATTAGGATTCTAAGTGAGGTTAAAGGGTTAAGTTACCAAGGGATTGGGATTTAATTATTAATATATTGAGATCATAATTATCTGAGAAATTATATAAATAAGTATTTTGTATCAATCCAAAGTAATAAGTGGGGATCATAGGGAGAGTGTTCCCTAACTGCAATTCTTTCTCATATTTTCAAAACCAACTCCATTATTATTCTTCTTTTCATTCTTGAAAATACAAAAACTCAAAAATAAGTCTTTACTTTTATGGTTACTAAGATTCAATTTAATTTTCCTAACAAGAGATCAAGCTTTTCAACTTAAAGTGACTGATTATTTTAGTACTTGGTTTTCAATCCCTGAGGAGACGATCTTTCTTACTACTTTACTACTTATGCGAAACGGTATACTTGCCGGATAGCATCAGGCGCCAAGCCTGGCGCCCCAAACTTGGGAGAAACAGAAGTTGAATCTGTCAACGGCCGGGCTCCAACTCTGGAGTGCCGTGCGCCAGTCCCGCGCTCCGTGCGCCAACTCTCGAGCACCGGGCGCCAGGTTGGCGCGCCGTGCACCACCTCCCACGCGCCGTGCGCGGCCGAAACAGAAGCAAATCGTCGATTTGGCGCCCCATACGCCAGGTACCGCGCCCTGTGCGCCAGTTTGGCGCTCCGTGCGCCAACCACCGCGCGTCGTGCGCCAGCGGGAAATTTGGTTTCTCCGTTTTTGCTCCTTTTTGCGGCGTTTCGTGCTATTTAACATATAACTTGAGTGAGAGCATGATTGAGAAGGAATAATCAATGTTTCTTGCATTTAATGACTATTTTCACACATTTATGATTAATTCCTTGCTTCTTTTAAGTTAGAAAACATCATCTGCTAGACTCACATCAGCGGTGTAGGCAGTGATTGCGATGATGGTGGTGATGGTTGATGGCAATAGTGGTGATAGTGGTGGTGACGGTGACGGTGATAGTGGTGGTGGTGGTTTCAGCGGTGGTAGTTGTGGTAGTGGTGGTGATAGTGGCATGGTGGTGATGGGGGTGGTCACGACAGCACTAGTGGTACACGGCGGCGACGACGATGGTGGCGGCGGTCGTGTTAGGATGGTGGTGGTGGTGGTGGTGATGATCGTAGAGAGGGAGAGTGATTAAGAGAGATTAATGTTTCTCATTTTGTGCCCGGGAACAAAAAAACAGAAATAAATTTTCTGATTCTTTTTTCTTTTCCCCAGTATAAAAATTAATCTGGTTCATCCTGAGAACAAAAAATAAATCGGTTTTTACAAACGATTTTTCTATCCATTTATCGAGAACAGAAATAAATAAAAAAATTGATTTCGGGAAGATTGTCATGCACACCCTTAATATATTCGTTACGTAGTAAGTTGGAAAATTTTAATTTAAAAGAAAGAAGTAAAAATATAGCTTAGAACTAAATATTATAACTTGATCCCAAATATTTATTATAACTAAAAATATAGCTTAGAATTATGCTTGCAAGCTTTTATTCAGTAGACCGTCAGAATAGCAAATATGAATTACGTATTCATACTTATCCTTTAAAGTTAGTGAGATTAATACACAGTCGTTACAAATTTACGATGACATCTCATAACTGAATTCTGAAGTTATACCAGATGGTATGTATTTTTTTAGATATTAACGGGTTAATCTGGTTTTTGGTTTATATGTCTTCATCTTCTCTGAAAAAATTGCGACTCTCAAAGTTCGAATTTATTATCTTTTAAGTAGGTCAAATTCTAGGGTTTAACTGGACCAACGTGACGGTGATGGTGTTTATGTATATTTTATAATCCTCTAAGCTTAGTCATTGCCATTTGCCAATGGCAAGTTCCAACGCCGTTTTGCAAGAATAAGGGCTAGATATTGATATCTGTTGGAATTCTGTGCCATTCCCACAAAATTAAAGGGTAGAAGGAAAGATGATGCTTTCGCTTTGTTTAGAAATAAAGGGAATTAGTTTAGATGACAACAAGAGACTTGAGTAAATGAAAAAGAAAGAATTTATTCTCACATGAAAGAGATCATTTAAATATCTTTATTTTTAATCCGTTCCCACGTTCCAGATTAATTTCATAATCAAGCCATAGACTTTAAATTTATGGAGATACGAAAGAGCCAACTGCTCAAGTCTCGTTAGGATTGAGTTAATTTTAAAAAAATAATAATAATAACGGATCATTCGGCACGCTTGTGATTTTAATTATTTCACTTTGAAGTGTAATGCAACTGACAGAAACGATGAAAAACTTATTAAAATAAAACTATATTTTGTCAGTGTGTCCTCAAATAACGTGTCAGCATATTATTAAATATAAATATAATTGTTTCTGCCAAAAAATATAAATATAAAACTTTCTTATATTATATTTACGGAGTAGGTTATATTTACAAACTTTTTTGTTCACAAACTCTTACAAACTACACTAAGTACGACCAATCATACTTTAATCATGCAGTGTACGACCGGTCGTACTTAGTGTAATTTGCAAAAAAAATGTTTGTAAATAGATCTTATCCTTATATTTATAGTAATATAAAATTTAAATTTAAATTTTATTGCATGGAACATAAAAGGCTCTTATATTATATTTTATCCAAGGCTCTTTAGGAACATGAAAGCCGCAGGGAATATGCCAATGCCCTTGGTTTACAATTTAGATTCCCCACAAGGAAATTCCTGAATGTGAATAATCTTTGGTGCTCTGAAAAAAATCTGAAAAAATCATTATTAACTGAAAACAAAAATTGGCCACTAAGATTAGATTAATAGACGGTTATATTTGTCACCACTTAAATTTACCATTCATACAACCAACTCCATAACCATTAAATCAATTTTACATCTAATAGTTGCCAATTAATCTTAATTATTTTCTCTCTTCAGAACTCTTATCCACTCTCACCTTCTTTCCATTGTCTTTATAGGTCTGTTGCAGAAAAAAAAACTGGACTTACTAACAGAACGGAACTGAAGATCTAGGAATTATGACACTGTAATTATGGTTGTCAAAATTTTGATTTTGATTTTTTTTTTTTTTTAAACATTCCATCGGTTCATCGTTTCACGACTAATCCGATTCGGGGCGGGTCCAGGATTAAGGCTTTAAACCCCTCCCAAATTTGATTTATTTATCTGATTTTATGTTTTTATGATTTTTTTTTTCCATCAAGACAATTTTATCAATATTCCAAAAGTTTTTATGTAGGGGTGTACGCGGTCTGGATTGGATCGGTTTTGGAAGCAAAACTCATCTGATCCAATCTCTTCGGTTTGATCATGTAATCATCCATTCGGTTTAGATTTTTTTTCAAATCCGGTCAGATCCAATACAATTTTTTTGGGTTTGGATTGGATCGGTTTTCGGTTTTTTGAATATCCTAAAATTAGTTTCATGATTATTGTGTAAATAACATATATATTGGCTTTGTAAATTTTTTTTGTTTGAAATACAAAAATATCAGTAAACAATACTATAGTTGATCGTGACTAAGTTTTTTCTTGGGTTTAGTTGATGAGTTAATGGGTCTTGAGTTTAGAAATTTTTGGGCTATGATTGGAGAAAAGACAACTAGGTAGATGATAATTAATATATTGGATCGGTTTAGATTGAATCGGTTTTCATCAACCCATCCGAAAACCGATCCAATCCAATTAAAATTTACGATTTTTTTTTTTGTTTTCGATTTATTCGGTTATCGACTTTTCGGTTCGGTTTTCGCGGTTTGAATCGGTTTGGGGTTTGGATCGGTTGATGAACACTCTTATTTTTATGTTTAACGATTTTTTTATATTATGATTTTTTTTTTTCATCCCGATTTTACTTAAAACTCGATTTTAACACCATTCACTGTAGTCTTCACCTTCTCCCCGAAAAACAATATTATAGATCCAGTTTTGTTTTCCATTGTGTCTTTGTTCCAAGTTCATTGTATTCATTCCCTCCTTCTCTTGTTATGGTCCATTCTCTGCACGTCCTACACCCAACTACTCACTGCAAAATGCAAATGTAATCTCCACATAACATTTACACCCGAGGCTCACTTTGCGCTTGTGGATGATCTTACATACATATATAATTACAAATTTAATTCGCAAGCTATTTTTTTTTTTTTGGGAATCAGCTGATTTGAGGTGGATTAGAGAAGGTAACAGTGAGTAAAATCATTATACGCAACCTTTTTCTTTCAGCAATATTTATCACTTCTCCTAGCTCTCGTTCTCTTTATAATAATATCCCATGTACAAAACACTGAAATATTTATAGATGCAACAAATTAAACATGTGCCAACTGTTAAGGCAGTCGCTCACATAATATGTACGCTAATTGTTGTCCACTGTTCACCATCCTCCACAAGATAATCACCGATGCTTGCTTGTTTAGTACTATTACTATAAGTTTAACGCGAAATTATGTATCTAACAATCAGACAACGTACATTATTTTCCAAACAACTGAAATTTTCAAATTAAGTTGGGAAAGAATGGGGCTAATTAACTTGAAAAAAAGAGTGATAGAGCGAGGTTAGGCCTGGTAGTAATATGAGCTAGAAGTTCCCTCTTCATATCCCCCCCCAAAAAAAAAAAAAAAAAAACTAGCAATAAATAAAATAAAAGTGCATATTGGCCACAGACCCTTTCTTTCAAGAGCTGCAGATAGGTTAAGCCAATAATCTCCAACAGGGGTTCAGTGATGCTAATCATTTACAAGGTATTATTTGTTTAAGTCTCTTTTTTTATATTTAATCGGTTGCATGGAAGTGAAGACTCCAGAACCTATGCCAATATACGAGTGTAAGCAGTCCTTAATTTCAATTTTCAAACCAAAACATTGTAGCATCAAAGACATGAGACAATGACATAAAATTTACATTCATATATCACAATTAAGAATCAAGAACTTTAAACTTAAGTTTATCGGAAAAATAAAATAAAATTAGAAACTTAAACCAGAAATGGGGTTCACAACAAGGTTTCCAACAGCTGACTATACGACTATCATGAACAACATTTCTTCCCCTCAGGGCAAATGGTGAGAAAAGAAAGTAAATGAAAATACAAACAGATAAATATAGTAAGTAAAACAATTTTCACCCCAAATCAAAAGCCTCCAAGAAACGTTAGTATTACACATAAAAATAGGATAAATAAATAAATGGAACACTCAATTCAAATAAACTTGTTTTATTTCTTCCGTGGTTTTTTTAATCCTACTTTAATGCTTTCCATCCTTTTACTCTGGTAGTCTGGTTATATAATCAATTGGCCACACCATTGTCCACTGTGAACTCTGCATTTATGCTGCTTTCAACCTTTGGTGGACCTGAATGACGCCTTGGTCTTGCAGGTGAAGCTGGGAAAGAAAGACGCTTCTTTGCAGTCCCAAAGGACCCCTTCTCTGTTTTCCCATTTTCTGTTGCTAATGGACTTTGTGTCCTGGACTTGGCTTTTGCAGACTGAGTTGGCACCATGTAACTTGGAACTGCTGGAGAGCTAGCAAGGCTCTCATCATCTCTCACTGATGACCCAGCAATGGAGTGCCTCCGGAACCGATCTGACTGTACACTGACCATGCTTTTTGAGTCATCATCCATAACCCAGCTGCCCTTTGGGCTTGCCTTCTTCAGTTTCTTAGCAACTGCTGTAGAAGCTAGCTTGGAAGGAGTTGAATGGGACTGTAAGCTAGGCGAGCCGGGATTTTGGCTGGCTGTTGGAGAATGCTTTTCAGAATTGAGCTGGAAACGAGCAAATGATTTGCTGATTTCTCCACCAGTAATGCTGCGGCTTGAACTTTTTATAGATGAATGGTCATTCAGCTCTTTATCCATCAGGCTACGGCTCTCCCAAGGCCGGGCTGCCATCCATCTTTCTAACCAACTCCAACCCCATGTAGGAATGGTTGGATCCATGAACATTGGATTTATAGATCTAGATGAGTTCTTCCAGTTTTGCTGTCAAATAATTTTATTTCGCAAATATTAAACCCTGAATTTGTTTGAAATATCAAGGAACTTAAACTTGTGGCTGTGAATTATATCATAGGCAGACACTGATATTCATTCAAAATACAATAGGTACATAATATAATATCCCACTTCATTTCAGGTAACTCGATACTGCCATTGACAAAAACTGAGGAAGAAGTTATGCTGCAAATTAACCAAGCATATAGTTGGATTGTGCAAAAAATCACTGGCAGTGAGAAAGGAAACTGCAGAGGATATGGCTCTAAAGATAGTGACAAAACAGAAAAGGATTCATGCATTTACCAAGGCTAAGATTCAGATGAAAAGAGAAACAGCTTCAAGAGATAAGGAAACAATGAATAAAGTAGGTATAATAACAACATAACAAGAATGCTTGTGTTCTCATTTTTGTTCTTTATACTATGTGATATTCTTCCAAAGATCTTCCAGTTCATCTAAATTTTTTTATCCATTACTTCACATATGTAAATTTATAAGAAAAATAGAAAACCTGATGAGTGAAGGCATAAGCCAGTGCTCTTTCTCTTCTCATAGTAGCCTCATACTTGCTTAGTAACTTGGCTTCGATTTGTTCTTTTGATTGTAGGCTGTCATCCCATTCCTCCCCAATCTATCATGACCATTTTGAAACAAGTTTAAAGCATTACAAACACAATATGTTAAAAAGTCAAACAAACATTGAGTCAATGACAAGATATTAGCATTTCAAAATAAATTAAGGAAATGAAAACTGGACCCGCATGCTCTCAAGCTCTCTTGCATGCTTCTGTAAGAGTTGTCTTTGCAGAGTCTGATTCTCCTCTAACATTCTGATCCTCCTAGAACGAATCTGGGATTGCACACGAGCTAATGTCTGCATAGAGCGGAGGGTACTTGTGGCTTGGCGTTTTACAATGGGCCCTTCCATCAATGATTTCAACCTGACCAGCCCTCTTAAAGCCCGCAATGCTCTTCTTGCCTAAATTATTTCAAAAGAAAGTTTACCTCGAAATGTAAGTCAAATAACAAATTTCCCTTTGCTGCAATTGTTGATTACCACCGACAGATATATAACTTGATCTATTTTCAGTAAAGATATATAAGATTTTATATGGATTCAAATTTAAAGAGTTAAAACTTGATCTATTGTTATAGTAAAACTTTTGACTCAGTTAGAAAACAAGAAATTGCCACATTATTTCTGTAACTGAAGCTTTTCACTTGCAGTAAAAAATTTAGTAAATTACTCTCTCATCCCATGTATTTGCATTTAATACTCAGACCTCCTGTTTATCGTGAAACCCAACGCATACCCCTTGTATGCAAAATGCTGTCAGATCTAGCAGACTGGTTAAGTGAACTGTTACAGGAAAAAAAAAAAAAGGACGAATTTTTTTAGTGGAGTAGAATTTAAGGTTCATTTTGGTTCCCAACTGATAGACCCATAGTTTATCATGTTTCTAGGGCTAATTTTACATAAATTACACGGTCAAAAGCATGATTAATTAAGTTTTATAGTGAAAAAGCATGAAAGTTAGAATCGGATCTAACATGTTTTGTAATTGTTGGTTTTGAAGGCAAATTGATAAGAAGTTGAGCAAAAACGGAACAAGGGACTTGGAGTTAAGAATGGAAGATCAAAGAAGTCTAGAAATACAACCAAGAAGCTAAACCAACAGTTATGAGCGTGTTAAAACGTGCTAATTACTGAGCAAACATGAAGAAAAGTTTCTGGATGAGCACGTTTAAATGTGTTGTTTAACATTTAAACGCGCTAGCATGAAGGAAGTCCCAGTCAATGAGCGGGTTCAAATGTGCTTTCCAACATTTGAACGCAATACAACAGTGGAAAATAACACTTTAGCGCGTTTGAACGTGCTGATCAACATTTGAACGCTCTCCTGCGATCCAATAAAAGCCATACTTGATATTCACTTAGGGCACGATTTTCACTCATATAAAAGGGGATTTCAACAGAGATTAAGGAGTTTTTGATAATTCTGATTGGAGAATCCTAACTAGGCAATAAAGGAGCGTGTCTTTCATGCTTTGAAGCATTGGAAGCGGGTGGAATTCACGAATACGCTGAGAACTCTAAAGATTAACAAGCTATCTCATCAATGGAGTTTGGGGATTCTTCATTGTTTTTATGTGTTTTTTGAATTCGCTATGCTAGGCTAGATTCTTATGTAGTTAGGGGCAGATGGACCCCAATTGAGTTTATATGTTTATGAATTAAATTGTCTCTAAATTTCTTCCTTTCTATAATTGAATGAATTTGTTTGAGTTTAATGTTTTTTATGAGTTTGCTCCTCATAGATTGATTTAGGGAAATTGTATGACAATAGGAATGTTGGTGCATGAACCCCGATTTAACAAATTCATCATAATCCTTGTGATTTAGGGATAGACATAGGGTATTGTGCAATCTTTAGATTCTTGATCTTAATGCATGTTTTCTTGAAGAACAACTGGGAAACTAGGATTCTTTCAAGATTGCATAGAAGTAAGATAACAAGGGATCGAACCTTAATTAATGTAGAAAGAATTGATTGGCAATATATTAAGGACGAGTTCTTGACTTTTTAATTCATAACATGTAGAGGAGATTGGGGAAATTGAACCCTAACTACACTTATCTTGATTGTCAAAACCAACTTCTTTTCAATTCTTGTTTTTACTTTTGCAATTTTATGTTCTTGGCTGTTTTTAATTTTAATTCAAAGTTTCTCGAAATCGATTGTCCATCTAAATTGTAGGTAGTGAACTAGTGCTTGAACACCGATCCTCGTGGAAACGATCTCGTACTCAAAGTACACTATTATTACCTTTACGACCGGTGCACTTGCCGAAGTCACAACACCAACCATTTGAAGGTGGAGTTGCACCAAACAAATATGTTCTTTACAAGGCTCAATAAGAATATAAATGGCAGTTGATGACAAAACATGACGACTTAATGACTCAGTCAACAAATCGTCAAGCTTGATAACATTGTAGAGTTAGTTGTATCATTTCTTTTATAAATACCCGGGGGTTGGGGTTTATTGTAGGTTTTTTGAAAAAATAAAATGACTCTCATTGAATGTTGAGTTAAATGAATTGTGAAAAAGAGGGAGAGGGAAAAAATGATGAACAAAGCAATTTTTATTGGTTTAAATCAAAATTGAAGCACATACCAAGTATCCCCTAAAAGCTGTTTGAATCTTGATTGCTGCCACTTCATCCTTTGGTTTACCTGAAAACCGAGCAATTCTGGCAGCTTCAACCCTAACGGCTGCTGTCCGAACAGTAGGAACAGGTTCTTCAGCATTTGTGGCAATTGCAACTTCAACAACATGATCATGACTGATTTCATTTTCTAGATCAGTTAATTTAATCTCTTCTGGTGGAGGAAGAGGAGGTGCTTTATCATTTTCTGAGTATGACTCAGAAGTCTGCAATTTTTGCTTCCCAAACCATTTCTTCTTTGATTTACTTGATTTCTGCAAAATCAGTTGGTAAAACTATATGAAACATCCCAGAAAATTGAGAAAAGTTAAATACAAATTTTATCCAAACCTGATCTTTCCTCTCCTTTGAGTCAGGGCTGAGAGCTTTCTTCACTGTAGAAAACCAATTTCCCTTCCTCCCCATTTTCTTGGCATTCCTTAATTTGATCCTTTATACCGAAACAAGAAAGGGGAAATTTTGAAGATTTGAAACCTCATAATCCAAAACAATTAAATTTGTAGTAGCAAATCCAATGGCATCTGCTGATATTATCAAATGACAATAGGACTAGCAAACAATGAAAAGTGTACGCCTCCTTGCACAATATAGTTATTCATTTTTTTCCTTTTAAGAAATGGAAAAGAACAATAAGCCTCTGCACGAGAAATTCATAAGGAACATTAATGGGGAAATAGAAAAATAAAAAAGTCTACACTAACAAACCATTCAAATTCCTAATCCCTAGTTGTCTATCAGTCCTGTATTAATTCTATCTGGGTACCCCATAAATGAAAGTAAACCACGTTTGGGAAACCAAACAAGAGGTTCTGAGTCGAATCAAACTACAAAACTATTGAATTTATCTCCCTTGTCGCATTTTTCATAGCAAGGTAGCACACGAAAATGCAGATTTAATTGGTTGACTTAGCTAGAACAGGATTCTAGTTGAAGTTGCAAGATTTTCGCCAAGGGAATAAGTGGGTAAGAAGAGATTGAGAGAAATTTACAGAAAAACAGGAAACTATTGATAGCTTAGATGAAGTTAAAATTGAGTTCCAATGAAGAAGAAAATGGTAAGTACCTGAACTGAAACAAAGTGACAGATCTCAAATATCTGCTTCTGACCCTTTCTCTCTCTCAGCAAAAAGATTGTAACTTGAAGATCACACTTGCATCAACCAAACTACACCTTTATTTCTCTCTCTCCTCTTTCTTCCTTTAAAGAGGGAAAATCAGATCTAGCCAAATGCTAATACAAAGAGAGTTTGAATTATAACAACAGCTGGTTCTGATTGGGTTGGTCACAGTGGGGCCCTAGTGGTTTTACCCTGTCCAAGTAATCAAATCAAATTAACGGTGTCGCTCATGAGTGATGATGTTGGTAATGCTTGATGAGGTGGAAAACTAAACAAAGTGTCACATTTTTTATAATTTTTTTATCCAAAATGTTACGTAAATAATAGAGTAAATATCTTTTTTGGTCCTCACCAAATTTTACTATGCCCGTTTTAGTCCCTAACAAATAAAAAGGCTCATCGTGGTCCCTAAAAAATTTAAAATTGACCCTCTTTAGTCCTTTTAGGGATTAATATGGGTCTTTTTTAAATTTGTGATGGACAACGATTTCAACTAAATAGGTCTATTTTGAATTTTTTAGGGACCATAGTGGGCCTTTTTATTTGCTAGGGACTAAAGAGGACATCGTAAAATTTATTGAGAACCAAAAAGTGTATTTACTCTAAATAATATTTTTTATCAAATTAGCACGTGTTGAAATTTCTTAAGACTGATAGCAAATTTAATTAGGCTATGTGACATATTTCTATTAACATAGGGATACCAAATTTGTTATGACTAATAATGGTTTAATCAATTTTTTCTCCAAAAGTATATTATGTGTCATAAAATTATAGGCTAATTAAATTCGTTATTATTTCTAACGAATTTAATAAATATGAGATTAATTTTGAGTTTCCGACTCTAATGGTATGACAATTATTCATATTTGAACCCCTACTTCTTTTTTATTCGTCCATCGTGATATTATACTATCACTTTATCCAATTCTTGGAAAGCAATTTAATGCAACTTATCACGATTCCTTATTTTCTTGCAGTGATAACTTATAACTGAAGAGTTTCTAGTAACTTTATTTTTGGCTTTTACCAAATGAAAAAAAAAATTCTCATATTAAAGCGTACAATTTTGTGTTAAAACGGTCATAGTTTAATGGGTTTTATTATTCTCCTTCAACATAAGATAGGTATCTTATGTTGTAGAGATAAAATGGGTGAGTCCCACCATTACAAGAAAAAAGAAAAATGTGAGGTGCGGAAATCGAAGTGAGAGAGTAGGAGAAAAGTAATCTTATGTAAAAGAAGAGTAATATTTTCCTAGTTTAATACATATTTATTAGCTATTTATATTCTCTGTATATGCAAAATTAAAAAAAAGATATTGTAAAGTAAAAAATAAAAAAATAAAAGATATGCACTAAAATAAAATTATGTCATTTAAAATAATATAAATTTGTGTTATTTAAAATAATTAATGCTTTTTTATTTGGGGAAGGATATACTTACCACCAAAAATATTTATCACATTTACAACCAATTTAATTACCGTTGATTTTTGTTAATCTAACGGTTATAATTTATCGAAAATTATTGGATTGCACTTATTAATTAATTATTAATTTTCAATAAATTCAATAAATTATAATCGTTAGATTAACAGAAATTAATGATAATTAGATTGGTCGTAAAGATAGTAAATATTTTTTGTGGTAAGTATTTCTTACCCTTTTTCCATTTAGTAAATAATAATGCTTTAGTTTAATTTTTTTCCCCACTAGGTGTAGTGTAGCTCATAATAGATGGTGGTAACTTGTCGAACAAACTCATCTAACTACCTATAAGGCTATAATTCATAAACATCTACGCAAGCTGTGTTCTAAAAATATATGAACCACATCCTTTTCATACTTCTTGAATTGCATCCAGTCTCGAACATTTTAATGCAGAGAGCAAGTTTTATTTGATTAAAGAAGTATTATCCCTGAATGAAGATGGTACTCGATCCTAGCTAAAGTCATCTTCCTTTTATATGTGCTAGCATGGAGTTTAAAAAACATATATGCCTAAATTGTAAATTCCACCATTACAAGTTTTTAATAAATTAATAAGCTACACTATCAAATTATAGTAGAAGCGTGGCAGGGTTCATGACCATTTCAAATAATTTATCTTTTCTTGGTAAAAGTTTGATTTTTTGACTCAAGATCGTTGCCTTTGTAAATATAACAAATTCATTTCTATGGTATATCATATTCCTCCGTTAATTTTATAGGTAAAGGTATTAGGCATAATAAATCCAAATTATTAAACGATTAATTATAATAGTACTATAATAGGATAAAAAAATACTAACTAGCTCAGATAAAGAAAATTAAATAATTGCGAAGGCATATGATTAAAGTCCACTTTCATTCGTCTTTTTCTTCAAATATAATGGGTGTGAGTTGAAACCTGAAAAATAAAATGAAATCCTAGTGGTGGGATTGGAGTATCAATCAATGCTAATTAGATACATAAGTTTATTAAAATATAAATTTCCTTAAAATGGATATTTTATCAAAATAAAACCCCTTAAAATATGAAAAGATGTCAATATCATAAATAACATAATTATCATCAAATCCGTAAACTCTGTATTCTGCATAATCTATTTTGCATAATTTTTTATGGGTTTTTTGTCTATTGGTTTTTATTGTTTTTGGCAGAAAACCAAGATATTTTTAAAATTCAATTTTATTTTCATCCTTATTTTTGTACAACACTAGATAGTTGGATATTGGATACAAATACTGATTCTAAAATTATTTCACGTTTATTAATAAAACTGTTAGAAATTAATTCTGCTTTTTTATTGGTTTCTGAATGCAGGGAGGAACTGCTTCCCATGGCCGACATTGTAACCCCAAATATAAAAGAGGCATCGCTTTTACTTGGTGACATGCCACTAAAATCTATTTCTGATATGAGCACTGCTGCAAAATTGATACATGATTTGGGTCCTAGGTTCGTTGCTGTTTAATATATTTGAACTTTTTGGTTCCAGTCTAACTAAATCATGTTTTAAAAGTATTAAGATTTTTTGTCTGTAACTGTTATGAATAGTTATTTGTCTATGCTTTAAGAAACTTGTGGAAATTTCAAATGTAAGTTTCTTCTTAAACAGAACTAAGTTTCTAACTTGGATGCATTAGTAGACTTTCAACATTTTGTTTGGTACAGCTTGAGCTTTACAAGACATAACATATTGTCCTTTTAAAATTTTATTTCATGTTTTGACAAAATTCGAACTATTAGAAAATAATGTCACTAATTGCTCTTGCAGTACTCTTAAATCAAATATGTTAAATAACAAGAGAAAAGAGAGTAACATTTGAAATATTTCTGTGTGTATTGACTGATGAAGGTTGTACAATATATAAACACACTAATGGACTAAGCTTAAACCTAATGTAATCTGACCTAATACAAAATAAGGAAACCCTAATTACAATATATTTCTAACACTCCCCCTCAAGCTGGAGCGTATAGGTTATATGCACCAAGCTTGTTACATATAAACTCTATTCGAGGGCCCCTCAAATATTTTGTAAACACATCTGCTAATTGCTCATTAGAGGGTACAAAGCTAGTTTTAATTTCACCAGCAAGAACCTTTTCTCGAACAAAGTGGCAATCTATTTCTATATGCTTGGTTCTTTCATGAAACACTGGATTTGATGAAATGTGAAATGTGTAGAGCTGCTTGATTATCACAAATGAGAGTTTTCTGTCCAGTGTCTCCAAACTTAAGTTCTCTGAGAAGCTGTTTAAGCCAAATGAGCTCGCAAGTAGTAGTCGCCATAGAGCGGTATTCTGCTTCAGCACTTGATCTGGCAACTACGCTTTGTTTCTTACTTTTCCAGGAAATCAAGTTGCCTGCAACAAAGACACAATACCCAGAAGTAGATCTCCTATCAGTTGGACAACCAGCCCAATCAGCATCACAATAGCCAACCACTTTATCATGACCTTTATCTTCATATTCAAGGCTTTTCCCTGGAGATGCCTTGATATACTTAAGAATACGAATGACTGCATTCCAATGTTCTTGACATGGAGAATTGAGAAATTGACTGACAACACTAACTGCAAAGGAAATATCAGGCCGAGTGACTATGAGGTAGTTCAATTTTCCAACCAATCTTCTATACTGCTCAGGATTTGAAAAGGGCTCCCCCTGATTTGGTAGAAGCTTGATACTTGGATCCATAGGAGTATCAACAGACTTTGAATTTAACAGAGCAGTTTCTTCAAGAATATCCACAGCATGTTTCCTCTGAGATATCACAACACCAGCTTTAGATTGGGCCACCTTGATTCCTAAGAAGTATCGAAGTTTCCCAAGATCCTTAGTCTGAAAATGATGACATAAGTGTTGTTTCAATCGAGTGATCCCATGCCGATTACTGCCTGTGATGACAATATCATCCACATATACCACCAGATAAATAGATCCAGAAGCAGAATGATGATAAAAGAGAGAAAGATCAGCTGCACTCCGAGTCATGCCAAATTGTTGAACAACACTACTAAATTTACCAAACCAAGCTCTTGGAGATTGTTTGAGGCTATAGAGAGACTTACGAAGACGACAAACAAGACCTGACTCCCCCTGAGCAACAAATCTAGGAGGTTGCTCTATATAAATTTCTTCCTCAAGATCACCATGAAGAAAAGCATTCTTGATATCCAGTTGGTAGAGAGGCCAATAGCTAATAGCAGCCATGGCAATAAAAAGGCGAACAGTAGACATTTTCGCCACAGGAGAAAAAAGTATCAATAAAATCCAAGCCAAAGACCTGAGTGAAACCCTTCGCCACCAAGCGAGCTTTAAGACGATCCACTTGACCATCAGGTCCAACCTTAACAGCATAAATCCATCTGCAACCAACCACAGATTTTCCAGAAGGAAGAGGCACCAGGTCCCATGTGCCATTGTGATGAAGAGCACTCATTTCATCAATCATAGCTTGTCTCCATCCCGAATGTGAAAGTGCTTCACCTGTGGTCTTAGGAACAGATACAGAGGACAAAGAGGAAAGGCAAGCAAAATATAATGGAGAAAGACGATGATAACTAATATTGACTGTATACCTGGCCGGAGGGCGAGTATCACGAGTACCCTTACGAAGAGCAATGGGAAGGTCACTATCCGAAGGTGGGATCGAAGCTGTGGGAGGAGATGCAGTTGAATGTGAGTCCACAGATACATCTGACGAACTATGCTCAATCTCATCAGCAGAATATGTGATAGAAGGAGAGTCAGAAACATGGACGGGTAAAGACGGAAGGTAAAGAAGGTCACTTGGGAAGGACGACTGTACAGAATCAGTATCCACAGGAGTAGTAGAGGTTCCAAAAAAGGGAACTGATTCAAAAAAGGAGACATCCGCCGAGATAAAGTATCGACGTAAAGTGGGAGAGTAGCAACGGTAACCCTTCTGAGACCGAGGATAACCCAGAAAAACACATTTATGAGACTTGGAAGCTAATTTATCCAAACCTGGACCAAGATGATGAACAAAACACGTAGAACCAAACACATGTGGAGTTAAAGGATATAAAGCTTGATGGGGAAATAAAATAGAGTGAGGTACCTTATGATTGAGAACAGATGATGGCATGCGATTAATGAGATAGCATGCAATAAGTATAGCATCACCCCAGAATGTGTGTGGAACATTACCATCAATTAACAAGGCACGAGTGGTTTCAACCAGATGGCGATTCTTGCGCTCGGCTACACCATTTTGTTGAGGTGTATGAGGGCAAGATGTTTGATGAAGAATGCCATGAGATGAAAAGAATTGTTGAAATTGATGAGATAAGTACTCACATGCATTATCACTACGAAAAGTACGAATAGGAATACCAAATTGAGTTTTTATTTCATTATAAAATAACTGAAAAATAGAAAACAACTCAAACCGCTTTTTCATTAGAAATAACCAAGTACATCTGGAATAATCATCAATAAAAGTAACAAAGTACTTAAAATCCAAAGTAGAAGAATGACGACTTGGTCCCCAAACATCAGAGTGGACCACAGAAAAAGGAGAAACAGCTTGACGACTAAGACGACTCGGAAACGTACTACGAGTATGTTTCCCAAACTGACAAGACTCACAATTTAAAGTAGAAAGAGACGATAAATGGGGAACCATTTTCTGAAGCTTTGCAAGACTAGGATGGCCCAGACGAGCATGGATAGTAAGAGGAGAATCCACAGTGGAGCAGGCTGAAGAAGAGGGAACTAGTTGATAGAAGCCCTGAGACTCACATCCTTTGGTAATCTCCTTCCCCGAACTCCGATCCTGAAAGATGACAGAGGTTTTAGTAAAAGAAACAACACAGTCAATGGATTTGGTTAACCGACTAATAGAAAGTAAGTTAAAAGGAGAATCGGGAACATATAGAACATGATCCAGAGATAAATTAGGTAAAAGAAGAACCGTGCCAATCCCCCTTGATTGGACCAGAGACCCATTGGCCATAGTAATAGTGGAAAAAGAACCAGTAGTACAAAGGGAAGTGAATAAGGACTTATTACCAGAAATGTGATCAGAATCTAGAGTCCAAGGGCCAATAGAGTGCAACTGAGATATGCCAGCAAAAGAATTACCAGAATTACCAGTGGGAGCAATGGATGCAGTAGGACCTGATGTTTGCTTCTCAGACCACCAAGTCACAAAAGCTTTTGCCTGACTCCAAATAGCTTCACAGGTAACAGCAGGTCGAAAAATCTGCTTGATAGACGGATGAAGAGTAGCTTTAATGAGACTACACAATTGAGCATCAATCATCTTCCATCGTGTGCGCTCATTTTCTGCCACAGATTTCGCCTTAGTGGTGAGATGGGATGTATAATTCTGCCCATCCAACCAGAGTCGCAGATCGGAAGACCAAGTATCATAATTGGACCCATCCAATTTATCCACACTCAACGGAGCAAGGATATAATTTGAGAAAATAGTAGACTCCGACTTTTGTCCCGCCGGAGTCCTAGAAACAGAAACATTGGAGACATGAGTGTCCATAATCAAAGGAAAAAAGCAAAAAGAACAGGTCAAAAACTAACCGGTAGAAGAGGGATCTGTGCGTCAACACAAAAAGAGGTCCAAACACCAAAACAAGATCAGATCCAGAACCTACGCAAGGAGACGAGAAGATCGCAACTAGCCGCGGCCGGAGAGGGGCCGCCACGCGCCGCCGGAGTGAAGGAGAGTGGCTGAGCTGTCACGTGCGCGTGAGGGCGCGTGTGACCTTGAAATTGGACGAGACCGGTGGCGTTGGAACCGCGCGGCGGAGACGATCACGGTGGTATATGGATCGCCGGAAAAGGTGACTAGACGGTGGTTCTGGACGAGACAGAAGTTGTATGCGGAGCGAGAAGCTTCTGAAAAGTGACAAGGAGACAGCTCCGGAAAAAAAAAAATTAACCGACGATGAACAGTGGGTTCACCGGAAAAAAGAAAAAAAAATTCAAAGTCCCTTAGGCTCTTGATACCATGTTAAATAACAAGAGAAAAGAGAGGAACATTTGAAATATTTCTATGTGTATTGACTGATGAAGGCTGTACAATATATAAACAAACTAATGGGCTAAGCCTAAACCTAATGTAATCTGACCTAATACAAAATAAGAAAACCCTAATTACAAAATAAGGAAACCCTAATTACAATATATTTCTAACAAAATATATAACAACGATAAATTGGTATCATATCTTAGTGAATTATCTCAAGGGAGAAACATACTCTACGTGTTTTACTCAAGACATACTTCCGGTTATCAAAAAAAAAAAGACATACTTCCAAATGGATACTTTTAGGAAATTACTTTTGCATATATGCTTAGAACGATATAGTGAAACAAACTTCTAAGATCAGAACAACATAGGTGAAATTGTATGTATGGTATACACTTTCAGCTCAAGTTGAAAACATGTAACGTTGCATATGACATGTTTACCTGTAATTATTTTTGCTTATATTATAGTAGCATTGCCTTACATTTGTTTTTTTATTATTCTTATTTGTTTTTCTTCAGGCTTTCCCAAGTAACTATACACTTTATACTGTTTAAGTGTTTATATCTAAATGGCTGATACAATATCCAGAACATGGACCTCGAAACCTTTTAGGGGTGTTTGGTTAAGGTGAAATTTTTTTTTACTAGAAAAATATAAATACTAGGAATCTACCGGGAAAGTGAGTTAGATAAGAAAATTTTACAAAAGTTGTTTGGTTGGGCAAATTTTTATCAAGAAAATTGAATGAAATTCCTGAATATGTGTTTGGTTGAAGATAAAATATTGATGGAAAAATTTATCGAAATTACAAAATTATCCTTTTAAAAATAACCCTTTTGTACCACTTTAATAACTTAGCCAGTTTTCTCAGACAAATACCACTTTTTGATATTCTTTCTGGAATAGTGTTTTTGTTGATTTTTACATGCAATTATTTATTGATAAGCAAGTGAGTTAGATGGATAAAATTTATCACATCCGTAAACCAAATGTGGAGAATTGAGAATGCCTTCTGCACTTCACTAAGAAACGGGGAAAACTCTTAAAACAAACACCCTCTTAGTAAAATCTTTCTAAAAGAACGCATTGCATATAATGCACTTGTACTGATGAAGTTTGATACTCTGCGAGAAGTAAAGTGATTGTTTAATTGAATTTCACTTTGGCCCTGAGGGGCTAAGCAGTACTTTTGGAGTTAATAAAGCCTTTACTGTGTAATTGAGACATGGATTCATCATATGTCTCTCATTTTCTCATTATTCAATAGTAATGATGCCCAATAAATAATTCCATCGCTTGCTTTGTGTAATATCCAAATAATAATATTGTAATAATAAGTTTATTTATTTTATTGTGTAAAATGATATATAACTTATAGTATTATAAAATATATAATGAGTTCAATTTACATGGATACTTACACAAATTCATAATAAAGTATGAATATTTTGAAGGAAATCTTAGATTTATGCGGAAGCGGTTTAGGACCTAGTACATTGGTATGCTTACCGAATCATCCTTGTTTCACAATTACCTCTCGGTGCGCAGGTGTCGTGTAGAATCTTCCCTTGTAGGATTCCTCTTCACGAACAGCTCACCTCAGCGCCGCAGCACGAACAACCTCCTTGAAGCTGGACTGTGGCAGATCTTCCAGACTATCTCTCGAGGAGGATGAGATGGTTGTGTGGGCAACCGTTCAGATGATGAACGTCTGCCTCTTGGGGTTTGTTTCTGATGATCTATTCACCTTGGAGGCACAAGAGGAGAAAACTATGAATATATACGCTTAGGTCTTAGACATAACTCAACCCTAAGCCTCATGGGCTCAAGTTTCACTGAAGCCCAATAGGACTTTAGTGACCAAAAGAGCATATATCCAACAATCTCCCACTTGCTCTTTAAGATAAACTTGAGTTCGTAAACCCAAGACCATGTAACCCATAAGCTATCATCATCTGATAATATACCTCATCCCTTGTCTCGAGCTAGCCTGGGGACCTACCATTTGTCATTGATCAAGGCTCCTGATAATCTTTACAAGATTATCTAATTCGGTGCTACTCCACTAAAAGCCCGAACGTGAACTCCAAGATTAATGACCTTTATAACATTAATATGCATTGCCCCTTTATAGAATGTCTATAATTCATTGATTAGTTTTCTGTAACCCAATCAATTATTTATTCCCTTGACTTTGATAATTTCTCTAATGGATTACATGCACTGGCCAGTGTCTTTAATATCCAAGTACCGAAATATATCAAGGGGACATTTCCTATAAATTCCTTGTTGTTTATCTCATAAATACTGATAATCAAATAATCTCACTCCCAAAACACCGAGTTATTGGCCGTCAAAAGATCGGACCTCACCCGTTGGTAAATCAAAGAATGAAAACTATTTGATTACCTATTTATAATAAACTCAGGATTAAGAGCAATCACATAACTATAGTTAACTGGAGATTTGATACCTTATGACAGAAAAACAACCTTAATCAAATCTCTCCTTGATCCTTTCAATGTGAATGTTAATTCATACCAATATTTTACAATGATTCGGACAAAATCATTTCATAAAATATTGCAGCCTGAATAAAGTGCCCAACTTTATTTAACGGCTGTGACTCCATTCATCAATTGTGAGATCCTATGATCATGTCCTCCATGAACGTATCCATATGATCATATACTCCACAATTTGATCCGGACCTTTATGTTTGTAAATAGTGCGCAAAATAAATAAATAAAACCTTATTT